GGCAACTTTTTTCCCCTCACAGGTCAAGAAGCTTGTTTGAACCAAAAGGCCACTTGATCTTTTTGAGATTCCAACTTTCGGTCTCACACAGGATTATTCGATGTACAGTAAATGAGTGTACAGGTTTGTTCTTACACGCTCTTCCCTGTTCTTACTGCTTGACCTCCAGTACCCCACAAGTCGAAGGGCTGTGAGGAGTGGGACGCGCAGTTCGCAAGTTGGTGTGGAACTAGAAAGTGCTCAAGCAGTGAGATTCAGTGCTCAAGCATAAGCATTGCAGGACGTTCAGTGCTCTGGATTGAAGCATCTTCCCTGAACAGTAGAAAAGGGCAGTAAGGGATCGAGTCTCAAAAGGTGCAAACTGTTCAAGCGTCTTCCCCTCCGTACAAATATCTTAGCAAATACAGCCGTCCAATCCTTTGAAGGGCGTGTCCCGGCCCAGCACAGGCCTTGCGGCACCATCTGCTGACTAGCCTGAGGAAACTTGCAGGCCAACTGCCAAAGAAAGGCCAGAACGAGTCAAGCTACACTACCAGCTCAGGGGCAAAGTACAAAACAGTCGTTCAAAGCATGGCAACTGCGGTTGAAAGCTAAGCACTTGGCTGCTGGGTACGTGCGATCAAAGGTATACCGAGGCCTGCTCAGGGGTTGAAATATGTATCACATGAATGGAGCTCATGGCAATCTGCAGTCAGTACTTTGAAACCATTGCAAATGCTGGCTCCATGGCTATTCCCAGTGAACTTGAAAAAAACTCTCTTCATGCCGATGCAAGTGGTTTGACCAGGATGCATACTACTTGCATGTCAGGTTTAGAACAAGCTTCAGTCCATCTTCCAAGATATGGGGATGCCCAACCAACCAAACCCCTATCATCCGTTGTTTGTACTTCAAATTATCTTTTGGAGCATCCGTTGGGCTTTCGAGCTGCTCTTCAAGGCACCAATCACGAGCGGAATAATGTTGCGGAGAAGTGCTGCTGAAGCTCGTTTTGCAAAAACCGTTTGAAGCAAAAGAACATCACCAGTACTCAATGTTTGCTGGTTCTCCAACTTGGCAGGTCCTCCTAAGACTGGGTTCACAATAGAAATCCGATGTTCGATTGTCCATTCAAAGACCTGCGACAAGGGCAACGTCGCATCTCAAGGCTTCCCTGCACTGTTGACTGCGCGTAGGGAATGACCTTGGATCCAAGTTCCAGTCAACCGTCAAAAGTGGGTTGTTGTGAGACATCTGTAGAACATTGCTGGATAAGACTGTGACAGGTTGCGCACCTGAGTCACATACAGGCCCAGGAAAACATAGCACTTTCATGCAAAATTTGGTTACAGTAACTTGTTGGCTACATGTGACGAAGTCAAGAACTAGATTTTGAGGAAATCAAGGTTTCTCAGTGTGGATGAAAAATGTAATGATTGGAGTGGAGGCCATCGCTATTAAGTTGGAGGCCATTGCAAGGTCATCTTGGAGTGAATAAGCAGGTATATCGTTTCAGCTGCAGTGCGCAAGTGACTGAGGGCTGCACATCCACACGCTTGCTGTTGCTGTTGCTGTTGTTGTTGCTGCTGCAAGTGTTGTTGCTGTTGCTGTTGCTGTTGCTGTTGCTGTTGCTGCTGCCTCAGACTATTAGAGCCAGGCCGATAAAAGTTGATCAAAAAATCCCTCGAAAATGAAAAAAAAAAGTGGACACATGTTCAAAGTCAATACAGCTTGAAAATTCATCCCAAGCGGCAGCAGCTGCTGCTGAAGCAGCTGCGGCTGCATCTGTTGGCGCTGCATTTGAATTTCGTGGATCATTCTACTATACCTGAAGCGCTCAAAGCTGTCGTTCAAGCAATGAAGTAGAATCCACTTCCTCTGCGTCCAAGTGACGATGAAGCCTGCGCAGCTTGCGCTTGTGCCGCCTCGTAGGCCTGCGTTTAGCTTGTCAACTTTTAGCCTCCTGTCATCCAAAAATGCTCATTGCCTTTCGCTATCAACTCATGGCATCCCTAGAATCTTGGAATATCTAGTGGACACACAACAATGACAATTTTAGGATCTTTTGTTCACGTCTTTTTTATATTTGGCAAAACTCCATACTCGAGGCACTGGACACATCCGTGGGCCTGCCGCTTCAAATCCACAACCTGTCTCAAGAATGACTATTCTAAAGTCAAACGTGACAGCCTTGTTCATCAATGCAGCTTGGAGGACCCATTCGGTTTCGAACAAGAGAATAGTCAAACGAAGCTTTCCTTACTTGGCTCTAAATTAATGCACTGAATGCAGATCTTGGGAGAATTACACCAACAAAAGCTTTCAGGCAAAGCACTATGACAATGCAAAGCTTGGGAAGGCTCGGTGCAGGCTGTCCTCCACAGGCTGAAGGTTGCCGTCTCTCTCAATGTTGTCGCGCATCATGTCCAACCTTGGCTTTTTGTATTTGTGCAAATATGTTCTCTTGAAAGGACATGACATTTGAGAAGTCAACAAGTAAAGCATAGTAAAACTATTGATGCATGTGTCGTCATTAGTTGGCCCTTGACTTTATAACTTTGACGTTGCTTCTCCCATCAATAGCAAGGAAGTGAATTCACCTAAGAGCTGGACTCCTTTTGGTCAACTTTCCGAGCATCAACTGCCTGGCCAAAAAGAAATCCAGTTACTGCTCTGTTGCATGTTCTGCATATTACTGGCTCAGTCTCTAGATGAGTCGGGCTTGATTTGCAAAACTTATACATATGTATGTGCATGCCGTCATCTGATTGATTTGCAAAGCTCAGACTCACATACACATCGATCGACCTTCAGCACGCAGTCCTGCAGCCACGCTTGTAAGCATCGACATGGCAAGAGGTCTTTAAGGTGTGAAGTGCAAGTGCCAGGACTGTACGCTACTTTGCGGTCAACATGTTATAGTTTGAGTCACTGTATCCCTTCAACGCATTAACAAAACTGACTTTTCTGTTCGATAAGGTTCAAGCACCCAAGCCCTGGACATGGGCTTTTGGACCTATCAATCTGACGAGTCCTCATGGGGCTGGACAGTGAAGAGAAGGATGTCCCCTTCTCTAAAGCCTTTGCCTCCATCCTGACATGCGCGCTGTCATTGAAGAATTCCAAACCCCAAACCCTCCACAAACATACAAAAATACAGCATACAGTCATATAGTGATGTTTATGTCAACAAGCTGCCGGAAATGTTCGAAAGCTCACATACAAGCCACATGTCTTTTGTGCAGCCAGAAAGATCCAGTACGCATTTCCCGAGTGTGTGAAGTCCATGTGTTTTGTCGATCAACAAGACTCACACCACGGCTTGTAAGGAAATGGGGAACAAAACAAATGTTCTGTGCACCAGCAGCAGGAGGATGTGATACTCTCATAATAAGAGGTTCGAATCAGGTGGTGCAAACTGAGCTTAAGTCTTCAATCTGTTCATCAAGCGACGGGCAGGCGCACCCCCAGGAGCACCACATCGCCCAGGTCACAGGCTACAAGGCCCCAAGACTGCGAGGCAGAAGAAAAAGGTCAGCCATGCTTTCGAGTCCACACGAAAAAGGAAATATCGGATGAGATGTGTTCTTTTTTCGGACAACTCTAGTCATGTGATATGTACAGTAAGTGTCTGCAGTAATGGACTCATATCGCAAAGAAGAAGTTCAAGTGTCCCGCAGCCAATTGGGCAAGGTTGTGCCTGATCTGGGTCTTCGTGCCAACGTCTCAACCATCCCAAATAGGAGAAACTCTGTGACCTCACAGCCCGCCAAGCCACAGAATGACTTGAGATCTCTTAGACTCGCACTGAGAAGAACCCTGTCGTTTTCACCAATCCAACCCATGTTTGATGTCCGGCCTGGCATTCACCTGGTTCTGTTGACTGTCTCCTGGAATCTCGAAAGCTTTCCGTCACAATGCTACAACACAGAAATGTGCAAATCCCACCCAGATCCCAACCCCAAAAAAAGAGATCAAACTATGTCTCTTGCTGTATGCTGCGCGCAAGATGCAAAAGAATACCCAGAAACTCATTAAAGCCAACCTTTCTCATAGCTGAGGCAAGCCCTGCTAAAATCTATGTAACTTCCATACTACATTGGTCTCCTGGATGCGGCTGAGCCTGAGCAACCTGCAGGGCAGGACAATTGCGCGAAAGATTGTTCAGATCATTCAGCGATGTAGACACTCAAGATCCATACAACACACATGCTTACAAAGAATGGCATCACCATATCATGTTGAACAATCCACAAGTGGAAGGTGCCCGCCTCAGGTTCGTAGCCTGTGAAGCGTGTGGCTTCACCGGTCGGCCCATCCTGCCCATCCGTTCAGCGTCCCAAAAAACGTCGCCAAGCCGACTCCTGCCGATTCGTGCCTCAGCCATCGACAAGCTTGCCACCTGGGCCGAAGATTTCATGTTTCGGTCCCCAAGAGCTTCAGGATGGTTCTCGCCGTCTGCCCTTTTCGTTCTAACCAGGACCTGTTCCTGTCCATGCCAGCCTCCCACTCTGAAAGCCTGATAAAGATAAGAAGACGTAAAAGTTATGCCGTGTGTTTCTTTGCGACCAACATTCCAAATCTCAGGAACAAGCATCAGCTTCAGCACACTGTACACAGCATGCTATGGCGCAGTGCACTGTGCAGTGGTAGTGCCTTCTTGCTGCTTTGTCCCTTTTTCCTCCTACGTTGCCCTTTGTGATTCAGTCCACCGCGGTCCAGATACTCCAATCGTCATTCCACGCTGTTCTTTAGTTCAGTTTCATCTCCCGCCATCATTTCCGTTTCAATTCTATCTGTGATCATCTTCGGTGCTGGACTTCTCCCTATAAATCGAGCCTCTCAGCAGCGAGGAAGGGAGATGGATTGATATTCGTGAGAGTGACACCAATCTTGGAACCAACCTTGCCTTCTACCAAAACTATAAAGAGAAGTTGTCCAAACAATTTCTCACAGAGAAAAGAAAGCTTTGTGTAAGTTTGTCAATTATGTTGGTTTCATGTATCATCAAACACGTGCTTTTCCTTGCGAAACAAAAAAAAATGTTTTCTGCATCTTCACACGCAAGTCATCTGGCCTCTCAGCAACCCCCGCTGCAATCACCCTGATTGATTGCCCCACTAGCTGCAAGCTCAGACTTGGTTGTCTCATGACTTGCTCGTTCACGATCCAACGCCTCGAATCAGATCGTTGAAAGGGTTGAAGAGCGTACAACATGCAGTCTCGATAAAGTCCTACCTTTAAAAAATCTACAGTAACAAATAAAATCCAAACTTCGGGCAATACCTTGAAAAGAACAATGTTCGTCAGCCATGCCTTCTGGGTGTGCCACAACTTTCGCTCTAGCTCGGCAACTGCTGAAGAAGTTCGCACCTTTGCTGATGACTCGCGTGAGATTCTCAACGACGAAGTTTGCACCTTTGCTTGACATTCTTTTGGCAAGTCTGCTTGAGGTTCCTTGCAACTCTCCTTCCTTGTTGAATCGCTTGCTGCCCTAGAGCGGTTCAATCGGCTCCATAAACGTTCTTTCTCTCGAAGCAACAGCTGAACATGCGTTCCTTGCTTGGCATACCTGGATTCCAATGCACAAAGCTCTGATTGCAAGTGTTCATTTCTGGCTTCTGCCTTTCTCTTCAAACTCAACTCCAATGCTAAAGTCTGCTCTTTGGAGCCCAACTGTGATTTCAATTGAAAAGTCTCATGATGGACCGCCTCCAACTTTTCCCGTAAACTGGTACACTCCAATGTGAGTGCATCTTTCGCAGCAGTGAGATCTCCAACACGCATTGTCAACTCTGCTTCAGAAGTCTTCATTTCTTCCATTTCCACATGGTTTCTTCGGAGGGCTTCACTCTGAAGAGAATCATTTTCTGAAAATAAGTTTCTGAGCTTTGCAGAAGTTTCATCAAGAACTGACATCTGCCTCGCATGCTGATCTCTGCACGCAGCCAATTCTTTTCGCAATTCAGCGTATTCATCATCAATTTCTCGCCGACGCCCATCGACTGCAACCGCAGCCTTGCTCATGATGGTCTGGATTTTTTAAGCCTGGTGTTCGTGACATGTTCAACTATTTATAAATATGTTAATTTTGTAGCTGGGTTGGACTAGTCTCTACTGCACATGAATATACAGTAACCCTGATTGTTTGTCACTTCGTGGCAACGTGACTGTGCCAAATGTCAATCAAAGGCCGCGGAACCAACCAATCATCTCGGTTCCTGCACCCTGAAGTGAATTTGAAGTGACCGCTGCCTGACCCAATGACCAAATAACACAGTAACCAAAAAATGAATCACAGTGCAAAAGGGCAAGAACCCGTTGAACTACAGTAAACACCCACACAGAAACCGGTTCCATGTGGTTCTTTTGACGCCGTAGAGTCTTGAAAATCATTTTTTTGCATGCCACGCTGCCAGTTGCACATTGTAGCGCCGTCAACCGGGTGAACAGAGCAGGCAAAATGTGTGAAACAAACAAATAAAAGATACGCCAACATGGACCCCAGAAAACGCAAGATATTTGTGGGCAGCACCACAGCAACGGCACCCGCAGCGGCACCAACACCCAGGCTACAAAGCACACATAGCCACACATCTGGTGGCAACACTCTGCGGCGGCACCAACACGCATCTGGCAGCTGCTCCCTGCAACGGCGCCGCACACAGCCGTACACATCTTTTCAAACACACGGACATGGACAGCAGCACCCTGCTGCAACTTTCCCTTTCAAAAACCCCCGGTCCCACGTCGGCCAAAAAGGATCACACCAGCATAGACCGGGTGTGTAAATCAAACGGCAGCAGCACCGGCGAGGACCAACCAAAACTGCCCACACGCATGATGTCATTCTGGGCATGAAATGATGTCATCCCTAGCATCACATGGTGTCATTCCTAACGCAATTTGATGTTGTTTCTGGCATGACCTGATGTTGGATTGCAACACAAATGGAGGACACTGCAGATCCTGACACTCTCCTTCTTGCAAAAGTTTGGTGCCTATTCCCAATGAAACAACACAGTGCCACCCTGAGATTGGCCATCTGACCTGTCTGAATCGCGGAAACAGACTTGTCGCACTTGAATAACCAGCCATGAAAAACGCCGGAAAGCATGACCTTTCTTATTTCCTATGGAAACCGTTCACCTTGAACCTTGCTGCCACATTCTTCACTGACAAGTGCTAGCATACCAAGCAAGCG